CTTTTCTTTTGCTTAATTTTTTTATTTTATTTTATGGAAATAAACAAGAAAAAAGAGAAATATACATTCAAGAGAGCAAAAACAATATCAAAAGTTCTTAAATCAGCAATAGAAATTCAGCGTAGGGCAGGGAATGGAGTCACGCTCTACTATCATGCCAGATTTTGGTAACAGCTGATCTCACACAAGCCTCATCAGCTGATGGCCAGCTGATTTACTTCAAAGCATTCTATTAGCCAAAAGTTCTTATGCCGCTTATTTAAACTGCTCTAGCCTGCCTACTCTTTGCTGCTCCCTCTGCGAGCCACATTTGCAGCCCTCCTCCACCCCAGCTCCTCCTTTTATGCTGCAATGACTTGCATCAATCAATGTCATGCATGTCTTGATGTCTGCTCTGTTTGGCTTTGCTGCTTATCTCTGCCTAAAGCTTTCCTTGTATGCACAGGAAGGGCAGGGATGTGCTGCTCCTGCCTTACGCATTCAACTTAAGAACGTGGAAGGTCAGGGAGATCCAAAACAGAGCCATACCGCGAATATAAATAATGAATAAAGTACATTTTCTTGACAAAGTGGTCCTGACTGAACTGTAATCTATGTCTGCATCACACTCTTTTCTCTAAATTTAACCTGGCATATTCACATTCAGAGTCCTTCCTCACATTTCTAGGCTTCACTTCGTCATATAGATTTACCATCTCTACTGCATTGCTCACAAAATTCAATGCTCCTCTAAGCGCTTCTCCTCCAGATAGGAGCGACCTGACTGATTTGTGTCCCAGAGCTTCCTCCCTCCTTCTTCCCTTTGCTCCTCCGAAGTCACACTAGTGTAAATCACATCTTGCTTTCCTCGTTTTTCTTCTCTGAACTTGTACTGGCGTCTTCTGTGTTGTTTCTGCTTGAGCTTGGTAAAGTTGGTGCTGATTGGCTCAGAGGTAGTTGCAGGTTGGTGACACCTGGTTTCTTCAGCTCATAGGTGTTGACATAATGTCTCATCTGTTTTGTTGGGTTCCTACAATGCAAAATAAAATGTTGGTTGGTTATTGTGCTTATGTAAGTCACATTAAGTAGAAAACTGCTGGATTCCAAGATAAAGTACCTCGTTTCCTTCTCCACTTGTTAGATGTTGGCTCATGGCAACTGTGCTGGCGTTACCTGACCCCTGACTCTGAAGCAGGTTGTGTTGAGTCCTCTGAGCCCTGAAAAACAGCATAGTATAAACCTACATGAATATACTGTAAACAGTTTTGTTGTTCCCACTGGTAGTTTAAAGTTGAGAAAAAAATTCAGAAACTAAATTGAGTTGTTTTAAGATGTCTCACAGCTCTCGAAACACAGGATCACAGCGTCTGCAGAAAATTATATCATAATGTTGTGCCAATGTGGCTAGCATTCACAGTGCTACACTACCAGCCTTTGGTCCTCCATGCAGGTTAAAGGGGCTATATGTAACTTTTCAAAAATACTGCATTAGTAGTGACACCGCATGCCGTCAGGGAAACTGCACCAGTAACCTGTTGCTCGCTCTCCCTTGCGAGCATCATCATCGGCCACGAAACACTGGATATTTACCAGCATGATGTTTACAGAGGAGGTAAGTGGTCATACACATGTGAAAGTCTGTGAAGGAGTCTGTGTGTCTGTATTCATTCTCCATCGTACAAACAACAGTCTCGGCTGAGAGTAGTGCTGGCGATATGGCCTAAATTTGATATCACAATATTTTTTTGCCTAATGTCGATATTCGATATGTTCGATATTATCGTATTAAAGTTTATAAATGTAGCCTATAAAACTGAATCTCCAATGTATAAAAAAAATATCACCCGACCATTGTAATCACTGGCCCAGGAACTTTACTTTTGATCGAAGAATAACAGTCACCAATTTACTCTTGAACCATTGTGATGCAAAAGTCAATTACAACTTTTTATTTAAATTAATTGAGCTCTAATTATAGAAAATAAAAATATTTTGTATTTTTCTTATATTTATATGCTCCTGTTTTCACCATGCTGGTAACTGTAAGAGTCTACTTAATCTGATATTAATATGAGACTTGATAGAGCTGGATTCTTCTGATCACCTTTCTCTCCTTCTTTCTTCTCTGTGAGAAACTCTTCATCCTTAGATCTTTACTTCGAGCTCTCTAAGAGCTAAGATGCTTTGTGAATAACTTTTATCTTACCAGGATCTAGTCTTTAACTTTAAGGGGAATTTAGCTGCAGCGTGTTCCAGCTCCTCCAGCTGTCTGCCACTGTGGCTGAAACTTTTTCTCCGTTCAGTTTTCGTCATGCCCTGCTGTCACTCAACTTTTCTGCTGTGATTTTTTTTCTTTGAATGCTGATTTTAGCTCGGCTTTTGTTAGGATATGATGATTTTAAAACCGTTTTACCAAACGTGTGTTTTAGTAGAGAAAACCTGCGCTAAAATCTGTGTGCAAGTGTACAATCTGAGTGTAGCTAGCGCGCTTGCAGAAGTGACAGCAGTGAAGCCGCCAGCTGAACGTGCAATCAGCTGGCCCAGACCTGGATAAGACTTGGTCTGCTCATAATCCAAAAAATACTTAAAATGTTAAAGACCAGAGGAACACCACAGAATCTGTATCTTTCACTCACAATAAGAAAAATAAAAATCCCAGTAGGAGGTTTTTAAATATTTTGCATAGTGGTATTCTGTACGGTTTGGTTTGATTTGCTGTTACCCTACCTGATAACAAAGAGTAGAGCACATACTAGCACCAGGAAGACGACAATCATGGCGATGAAGACTGGCAAAATCACTGAAACATACAAAGGACAATATGGGATTATGGTTGAAGCTCCACTTCAAACGAGATTATTATTTTAGTAAATTCAGACATAATGTAATAATAATTATTTTTCACATATTTAAGCTCTCCAGAGGACGTTTCTTCACTACTTACCCATTCATAAAGCTTTCTTGTTAATACTTAGTAATTATGAGAACAAATTGTGAAATGTGCCGCTTACCAATAAAAGTTATACTCAGTTCAGAGACAAACCTTGACTTTCTGCAGATGTTGGAAGGCTGTAGAAAATAAATCGCTGAGCACAGATCCCAGAGAGTTTGAGCTGCGACAAAGCACAGTGAAGTGATCCTTCCTTTGGGCTTGACTCATGGTGATGAAGCTCACGCCTGTACCATTTTCGATGCTCATAACTGACCTGCAAACTCTTCTGAGTGATTGACCAGCTAACCCATCCAAACTCCATTGTAAAGTGGGAGGAGGATTTCCCGTAGACTCACAGGAACAGTTGACCTGGTTAGCAGTTTTGTGTGCAATCAGATGAGGACATGATCTGTGGAGCATCTGTAATGGATGTAGGAAGAGAACAAGAGAGAGTCAAGAAAGCCATGCTGTATCAAATTTGCAAAGTAAAAGATAAGGCTTAATGGCTATAAAAATAAAAAATAAAAGTTGACCAGCTGTGAGTGTGAATGAAGTGAATGAGGCCAAAGAAAATTCTAGTTCCTCCATGTCAATTTTTTCATTCTGGGCCTGTGTCCACAGAGGGCGCTTTTAACGCTGGCAGCGCCTATTTTCAATACAAAACCAATGTAGTTCAGTGTTTTCAGCTCTCAGCTTCATACGTTTCTTGAGGCCGCATTCACTCAGCTCTCAGTTGAAAACAATTCCACTTATGGAACAGCACTACGCTCTTCTATGTCACATCTCCATCACCAACCTATGGCGTTTTATTCCCAGCCAATAAATTGTGCGCGCACATGAGATCTGTGCAACTCAAACAGCCACACGCATATTATTTTTTGCAAGCGTTTGCACAGCATTCTCACGCAGAATTTATCTGCTCGCAGCGAGCAATTATTGTATCCTCAAGGAGAAAACCATGCTTTGAGCACGAGCAAAATCTCACCCTGAGCGTGTAACTACAGTGCTCTCTCTCAGGGGATTTTCTTTTTGCGCTCAAAGCATGGTTTTGTCCTCTCAGGATACAATATTGCTCGCGCAAGCAATTTCATTTGAATGATTGTAATTTTACTTGATATTGCACATTCTTACTAAGCAGACCTTTTTGGGGTAAAGTTAACATTTGCTCGTCTCTAATTAATTATAGAACCTCATATATAACACAGTGTTTCCCCTACCATTCAGGTCGTTCAGGGTGGATTACCCAAAGTGATCTCCCACCACCC